GTGCATGAGGGCTAGGGTGGGGGTGGAGTGAAACTGATGGGAAGTGGAGGGGGGGGGGGGTTAAGAGGGAATAGGGGTGTAGAAAATATCAATTTTACAAACGGAACATTGTAGATACCCAAAATCACTAGTGACAGGCACTAGTGACATTTTTGTTGGTGTAACGTAACAAGTTCCCATATTAATATAATCGAACTTATATTGAATTTTACAATCCAAGATTAAACTTCTTCTGTTCACAATTGATTACAACATTTGCTATTATAATATTGTTGTAACTTTTATTTATTTTATTTGTGTTTTTTCATTATTATTTGATAAAATAAAATATTTTTGTTACTTGTTGTTTTGTAAAACTTCTAATGTAATTTTTAAATATGTAAATTTTACTCTTTATTTCTTATACTAATCTTTAATTAAAAAATTTTTAAAAAAACTTTAGACTTTTCATCGTTTTACCTAATTTGTAATCTATTTGGGACGGAAATCAAGAAAAATCAAATAAGATTTTTTTAGGAACAGAGGAAATATATTACTCCCTATTTAATTTACACAAATGTATACAGAGGGAGAATAACAAATGTATAAGAATGAAATGTGTTTTGGATCCATACGTTTTGGATTCATCATAGTTCTAGATTTTGAGAATATTTGTTTCATTGGATAAATAAGACAAGAAGTGAGATTGAATGTATCACATGTATCAAATGATATGTGTTGGGACCGAAATAAAAAAAAAAGAGGCCCATGATAGATGTATAGGTGTATTTTTTTTTTGAATAATATAATTTTGTAGCTAGTACAAAATGTCAGTATAAAATTTTACGATCCCACTAATATTTTGTGCAAGCATAAGTTATCAGAATGTTGGTACAAAATTGTGATGTACTCCATATGTTTCAAATTAAATTGCTTCTTTACTATTCACATGGTCAAACTTTATTCACTTTCTTTTCTTATTTTCGTTAATCAATTGATAAGATAATATAGTCTTGTCACCACTAATTTTGTGGACCTTTTGGTACCGTTTTTAAATATGTATTTTTAATTTTTTATATAAAATAATTTGAAAATAATTTCAATCGAACATCGTAATCCGAAATAAGCAATTTAAATTCTGACTAAACGAGTACAAAATAGTGTACAAGAATTGTGAATAAATAGGAAGAACCATGCTACACTTACACCAAAAAATGTACATCATTTGTACACCGCAGTTATGCACAAACATTTTGATGGTTTACACAAACACAAGTGTTGATGCGTTAACAAAAATTTACACGAACAAAAATATTGGTGCATTAAAAAAAATTAGTTTTACACCAACACAAAATGTTGGTGCAAAACTGCGGGATACAAATTGGGGTATAAATATTGGGATACATATAGCTTAATCCAAATAGGAATATTGAAAAAAGATTAAATATTAAATAATCATAGTCAAATGGCCTATGGTACAAATCAATCCTAGTCTAATGGGACAACTTTTGTTAGGTGCAACATGGCATTATTCTGACAAAAGAGAGCTTTGGTAATGAACTCCTAAAATTGGCTTGCCAAACACTCATCAATCACAAAAACGTCCAAATAAAAAGAAAGCGAGATTTTGCCCCCATTCACGGCACACATATAGGCTTCTAACTTACATTTGCTTGCATGCAGTCATAATTGCTTCACATACTACAAGCACACTCTAACATTTTTGGATTAAAATCATGTCCTCTTTTTTGTCTTAAATTGATTGCACTTACTCATTAATGAGACAAAATTCTGCATTTTTAAAAATTTACTCCCTCCGTCCCTCTAAGATATTCCCATTTTGACTTTATGTGGTTTTTAATGAGAGTTGAAAAAGGTGAAAGTTTACAATAATACCGTAAATGAGTGAAGTATATTAAATAAAGTGGGTAAGGTGTAATAAATAAAGTAAGTGGGAGTAGTTGTGGTATTTTGATTGTTAAAAGATGAAATGAGAAGATCTAGTGTGGACAAAGAAAAAGGGGTATTGGGAAGATCTATGAGGGACAGAGGAGTATTTATTTAGAAATAAGTATAAGAATAACTATATTCCGTAGATTTACATAGTAAAAAACTATATCAAAGAGTGAATCCAGTCTTTCTTTTTTATCGAGCATAGATTTTGTTCCTCTACGGCCTATGGTTCTGACTAGCCCCCGTTCCTCCATATATAATATCCCATACCCGAAATGTTTCAGGAATGGTAATACCTTTGATCAATTCAAGTCAAGCCTGACTCCTCTTCTCTTCGTCCTTGACCTTAGTTACAAATTGGTGTCAGATGATTAGAAGCCTGTCCTCAAGCACAAAATGGATACGAAAAGGTGAACGTTTTCGTCTTTCCAATAGCCAGTGGTAGGTCGAAAGATTGAAGAAAGGTTGGTATGAAATCCTCTTGCCGCAAAGATCGGTAATGACTAATGCACGGAGTTGGACTCCCATGGTTATCTAAATGATCATCTTTGGCGTGTGAGAGTGTTTGTGACCAAAACATAGTCTAAAGTGTTCAATGCTTATGCTTATGTGAAGATGATCTTAGGGGCTATCTTCTTTTTTAATCCCTTGCTCAGTGAGTGTCATTCTCCTTATTGATTGTGTCACGGTGTCACCCTTTTAATCCTCCGGTGTTTCATTTGTAATGTAAAATAGGTAATTAGTCACTGGAGAATGCTAAAGAGGCACCACGTGTGCCT